CTAGCTCATTCCTGGAGGCAAGTATTACCCTGATCCCAAAACCAGAGGAAGGGCTGGGGATTTAGCTCAGCGGCAAAGCGCCTGCCTGGCAAGCACAAGGTCGTGAGTTCGGTTTCCGGTACCGGAGAAAAAAACCAAAAAAAACAAAAACAAAACAAAAACCAAAACCAGAGGAAATCCCAATCAAAACAGAGAACTACAGACCAATCTCCGTAATGAACATAGATGCTAAAATCCACAATAAGATACTGCCAACAGAGCCAAAGAAAAAAAATCACAAGATCGTCTCAATTGATGCAGAAAAAGCTTTGGACAAAGTCCAACACTCGTTCATTATAAAAACTCTACAGAAAATTGGAATCAATCGTTTTAATCTCAATCTATTAAAAGCCATCTTCTATAAACCAACAGCTAACATCATACTAAATGGTTTTAAAAAGAAAAAGCTTTCACTATAAAATCGGGAACAAAACAAGTATGTCCACCATCACCACCCCTATTTACATACAGTTCTGGAAACACTAGCCAGAGCAATTAGACAACAGAGAGAAATAAAATGAATAAGGATAGGAAAGAAAGAAGTTAAATTAACATTATTCAACATGACATGACATTCTACATAGATCCCAAAAATTCCACCAAAAGACTTCGCTGTGGGGGCTGGGGATTTAGCTCAGCGGCACAGCGCCTGCCTGGCAAGCGCGAGGTTGTGAGTTCAATTCCTGGTACTGGAAAAAGACCAAAAAAAAAAAAGACTTTGCTGTGTACAAACAACAAGCTCACTGAGAGAAATATTTGGGAACCCACATGCTATATAAAAGCATGCAAAAAATGAAATACTTAGGAATATATCTAAAACAGGACATAAAGGATCTATATTTTGTTTTGTTTTTTGGTACCATGAATCGAACTCAGGACCTTGCGCTTGCCAGGCAGGCGCTTATGCCACTGAGCTATATCTCAGTCCAGGATCTATATTTTGAAATTTACAGTACTTTAAAAAGGAGATCAAAGAGAATACAAAAAAATGTATAGCTATCCCTTGTTAGGGGTAGAAAGAACCAATATAGTTAAAATGGCAGTACTCTCAAAATTATTATACAGATTCAATGCAATTCCGATCAAAATACCATTAGCACCCTTCACAGAACTAAAGAAAACATTCCTAAAATTCATTTGGAACCAGAAGAGCCCTACAATAGCAAAGGCAATCCTGGGCAAAAAAGCAGGACAGGAGGCATCACAATCCCTGATTTCAAATTATACTACAAAGCTACAGTGCTTTAAAAAAAGATAAAAAGAAAAAAAGAAAGCACTATATTGGGGGAAAAAAACAGACTTGATAACCATTGGAACAGATTATAAGATGTAGACATAACTACAAGCACACTCAGCCACCTTATTTTTGACAAAGGGGCCAAATATGTTCATTGGAAAAAAGCCAGTTTAATGAATAATACTGGAAAAACTGGCTCTCTGCTTGATCAAGACAAAATTAAGACCTATGTATATCACCATACACTAAACAGAGTCCAAATAGATCAAAGATCTAAATATTAAACCAAAAACACTAAATCTACTGGAAGAGAAAGTAGGTAAAAATATTGAAGACATAGGGGCAGGCAGACCATGAACAACTTGAAAGAATGAACGACTCAGATCTCATCCTATTAAAAAGCATTTGTACATCAAAAGAAATCACCAATAGAGTGACAAGACAACCCAGAGCAGGGGAAAAAATTTTTAGCTAACTGTCCCTCAGATAAAGGACTTCTATCTAGAACATAAAAAGAACTGAAAAAAATCAGACCCCCAAATTCAAAGACCCAATCAAAAAATGAGCATCTGAGATGAATATAGGCTTCTCAGATAAACAAATACAAAAGGCAAATAAATACATTAAAAAATGTTCAACATCATTGGTCATTGGAGAAATGCAGATTAAAACAACACAGATTTCATCTCACCCCCCAAAAGGAAGGCTGCCATCAAGAAATCAACCAATAGCAAGGGGCTGGGGATTTAGCTCAGCGGCAAAGCGCCTGCCTGGCAAGCGCAAGGTCGTGAGTTCAGTTCCCAGTACAGGAGAAAAACCAAAAAAAAAAAAAAAAAATTAACCAATAGCAAATGCTGATGGTCCCATGGGCAAAAAGGAACTCTTTTCCACTGCTGGAGGGAGTGTAGATTGATACAACCACTGTGGAAATCCCTCAGAAACTAGGATTAGAGGCCCTATTCTACCCAGGTATTCCCCTTCTGGCTATCTTCCCAGACGAATTAAAAACATCATACCACAGCAATATATGTGCACCCATGTTTATTGTAGCACAATTTTTAATAGCTAAATATTGGAAACACTGACAATGCCCATTAACTAAGGAATGCATAAAAAAAGTTGTGATATTTTTATACAATGAAGTGCTACTTAGCCATAAAGAAGGATAAACTTGAGACTTTCACATGTAAACGCGTGCAACTTGAGACCATACTCATAACTGAAATAAATCAGTTGCAATTCTAAACATTGTATTGTCTTCCTGGTGTGAGTAACTTAAAGAGGAAATGAGTTCTGAAGCGTGCAGCAGATGATGGGAAATTAGAACAAATTGTTCAAAAGCTGAAAGGAACCAGGATGGTGAAAGGGGAAAGGACAATGGAGAAAAGGGAAAAATGCAAGTCAGTTACACTATTAGTGTCTCTTAGTTCATGAAAAAGGAAGGTTTATACTAATATTCATTTGAGAAATATTTATCCCCATATCTTATAGCTTGAGCAACTACTTTGAAGATAACAACATGCAATGTACTATTGGTTTGGTTGTTTGTTTGTTTTTTTTTTTTTTTCCAGTACTGGGAATTGAACTCACCACCTTGTGCTTGCCAAGCAGGCACTGTGCCACTAAGCTAAATCCCCAGCCCCCTAACTATTGTTATTCACCTATGATTTTGTTATGATTTTTTGTTTTACCTTTTTTACATAAAAAAAATTCAGTATCGTGCCAGCAATGTGACACTGTACATATCTGTGAAAGACACTCACATTCACCTTTCATGTCAGGATATGATTAGTAGAGAGCATGACCAGTGGATCTCAGGGAGGTAAGACAGCTTTCAATGGACCCACAAGTAAATAAAAGGGGCTGGGGATTTAGCTCAGTGGCACAGCATCTGCCCAGCAAGTGCAAGGTCGTGAGTTCGATTCCCAGTACCAGAAAAAAAAAAAACCAAAGCCACACAAATAAATAGAATACTGATTTTGGATGCACCTGGAGTTGTATATATCCATGGAAGAAATTTCATTTATATTCAGGGAAAACCAGGTATGTGCCTGGAAACCTGGATTGTTCACACATCTATTCTGTCTACACAGGTAATATGGGAAAGATACATTTCAATGCCTTAGAAATTTATACTGAAAGAACATTCAGATAAAAACAACTGTTACCTTGGCTGGGGATAGAGCTCAGCGGCAAAAGCGCCTGCCTGGCAAGCGCAAGGTCGTGAGTTCGGTTCCCGGTACCGAAGAAAAACCAAAAAAAAAAAAAAAAAAAGAGGCTTCCTTTCAAGGAAGTGTTCTTAGCAGGGAAACTTTCCCCTCCCTCGTCAATACATTAGCAACACCTGCATGTTTCTCAGAATTCAAAAATCTATGGAAAGTCTCACTTCAATAGTTCAACTGTGAAGAACAGTTTATTTGGTTAGCTTACAAATAAGGCACCTAGCTAGGGAAAGGGCCTGAGGTAGTGGTGTGAAAGTAGCGGTTTTCACAAGAATCCCAATGAGAACAGGTAATGACCCAGGACGTGGAACCTAGACTGAACTTTGTGCCGTATGAGGAATGCCCACTAAGAGTCGCAGACACTCCCTAGTAAGCTCCTGAATTCTAGGTATTTAAAATATAAAATACTGAACTTTCCCCTAAAATCTGTTTCCTTTAAACCCTGCACGCTGATAAAATGGCTTAGAGAGCCTGAGTTCAATGTGGTTGTTTTGGCTGGGATGGACTCCCACCAATTCAGAGGCTGAAACAATAGGATTGCCAAGAATTCAAGGCCAGTCTAGACTACACAGAGAGTTGAAGGTCAGTCAGAACTGCATAGCTAGATCCTGTCTCAAAAAAAAGACGTTGGTGGCCGGGCGTGGTGGCGCACTCCCGTAATCGCAGCACTCAGGAGGCTTAAGCAGGAGGATTGTTGCAAGTTCGAGGCCAGCCTGAGTTACAAAGTGAGTTCAAAGCCAGCCTGAACTGCACAGCGAGACCCTGTCTCTGAAATAAATAAATAAACTTCACAGAATGTTGTGTAACAGGTAGTGACTAAACAAATAAGCAACTGCTGTTGTGTTCCACTTGTTTATAATTTACTTTGTATTGAGCGCCACAAGGCTACCCATTTGGGGCACTTCCTGGAATTCTGGGAGCTATTCTTATTTCCAACAAAATCTCTCCTAACATCCCTTTTGGTTCTAGACCTCATTCTTAAAACTTGAGAGATTGGGGCTGGGGATTTAGCTCAGCGGCAAAGCGCCTGCCTGGCAAGCATAAGGTCGTGAGTTCGGTTCCCGGTACCGGAGAAAAACCAAAAAACCAAAAAGAAAAAACTTGAGAGATTATGAGTTCTGTTTATGCAGTAACATCACTCGAGGAGTGGTCTCCTGTAAATAATTCACGTAATAATTTTTTCATCGCTGAGGATGGAACCCAGGATTGACCCAAAACCACTGCTCTGCTCAGACTGTTGGGAGATACAGCTGTGGCTGGGGTCACCCAAGAGGCCGTCTGGGCTTGCAATATCACAGTGGGGACAGTATGATGGGGACCCAGAACTGTCCCTGACTGAGCAAAACGAAATTAGCAACAGATGATAACGCAAGAACAAAGACTTAGGAAGGACTCAGGATCTGCAGGTAAGCAGGGCGGCTGAAGATCGCCATAGCTGGTTCTGGCCACCTCCTTCCACAATTCACACAATCTTATCCCCACCTCCCGGCCCATAGCGTCACCATTGCGTGGCTTGAGTCTCCCGGGATCCTTTGAATACAGCCCGCAGTAAGTAGAAATCACAGAAAAAACGTGGTCTGGTCCGCTAGCAGCTCTCAGCAACGCGCTCGCGGCCGGACCTTCCGCACCAGGACACAGGAAGTGCCCTCCTCCCTCGGCCCTCCTGATTGGGTAGTGCGCTCAGCCCACGCCTTAATTTCTGATTGCCTCCTATTGCGTCTTCAGCCCGCTGAGCTGTGTTTCCAACGGTATGTTTTAATCAAGTTTTAGGCGGGCGTGGTGGCGCACGTCTGTAATCCCAGTATCCGGAGGCGGAAGCAGGAGGATCCTTAAATTTGAGATCAGCTTGAGCTACAAAGTAAACTCAAGGCCAGCCCGAACTGCATTGCAAAATTCTGTCTCAAAAAAGACAAAATAGGCCGGGCATGGTGGCGCACGCCTGTAATCCCAGCACTCGGGAGGCTGAGGCAGGAGGATTGTTGAGAGTTTGAGACCAGCCTGGGCTACAAAGTGAGCTCAAGGCCAGTCTGAACTACGCAGCGAGACCCTGTCTCAAAAAAAAAAAAAAAAAAAAAAAACAAACGCAGGGCTGCAGGAGAATTGCAGAGTAGATGCCATTTTGCATGAGGCTGAAGGTGAAGCAGGAACGAGGCAGGACACTGTGGTTCCCATTGCCAGTCAGGTCCCATGGCACAAACCTGAAGGGACCAAGGGTAAAACTTTTTCTTTTGTCCTTTTGAGACAGGGTCTCACTATGCAGTTCAGGCTGGACTTGAGCTCACTTTGTAGCCCAGGCTGGTCTGGAACTCACCACGATCCTGCTGCCTCAGCTTCCCCAGTGCTGGGATTACAGGCGTGCGCCACCACTCCCGGCCTCAAGGGTAAAGCTTTACAGGGAACAGGTCAGAGACTTCACAAATTTCCTGCAGAGGACCTAGATTCTGCAGATCCAATCTAGTTCATCTTAGCACACCCGGCCCCACACTTACGCTTCTTCCAAGATGTTTCAGAGTCTATTTGATTCCTGCAGTCTGAGGAAGGCATTCAGCAAGGGAGACACTACCTCTTGGGCCCTTTCTCAGAAGATGACACTGGGTAAGAACTACGGCAGCAAAAAAAAAAAAAAAAAAAAAAAAAAAAAATTCAAAAAAAAAAAAAGGAAGACTCCACATTATGAACTGCTGTGATCTTCCTGTGCTGCTCTCCAGCGCACAGCCCACGCTGCCTTTCTGCCTCTCACAATAGCTGGTGATCAAAGACCCAACCTCTGAGATCTGATGGACGAAGTGATCCCTCATCTGGGCTGGTGAGCAAAGAGACAGATCCTATCCCTGAGTTACACCTGGCTGCTGAAATGGTCCACCTGGGGATTATTACACTTAGACTGAGCTTGGTCTTGTCTTTCCAGTTCCGCTATCTGCTTTTTAACTGTGCTTGGTGGATGTTTCCTGTTTCTTCATCTTGCAGATAGGGCCACAATTGTACTCAGGTGATTTCAGACTTTATCCTGTGGCAACAACTCCTGAACTCAGAGGAGAGCTGCTGAGAGCAGGTCAGGCAAACTCAGTGTGGGTTGAGGCAGCTGGTTTCATTCCGTTATCAGGCAACCAGGCCTATTTTACCTTTTCATGATTGTAAGTTGAATCCAGGGCATTTATATTGAGCTATCTCCCTAGCCCATTTTTTATTTTTTAAATTTTTCAGTATGTTGCTAAGTTGCCAGGCTGGGCTCAAAGTGTAAACTTGAAATCCTCTTGCTTCAGCTCCCCAGAGTTCTGAGATCACATGAATGTACCATCTCGCCTGGCTCTTACCACTTTAGTAAAAATCAGTAAATAATAAAAAATGAAAACAAAGAAATATAATTAGTAACCACATACATATATTGCTGTTTTTTGTTTTTGTTTTTTTTTTTTTTTTTTTTTTTTTTTTTTTTTTTTTTTTTTTTTTTTGGTTTTTCTCCGGTACCGGGAACCGAACTCACGACCTTGCGCTTGCCAGGCAAGCGCTTTTGCCGCTGAGCTAAATCCCCAGCCCCTGCTGTTTTTTGGCATTAATATTCTACATAACAATCAAGAGGGCTGCGGATATAGCTCAGCAGCATAAGCACTTACCTGTCAAGCCTGAGGTCATGAGCTTGATTTCCGGTACCAAAAAAAAAAAATTTAAAAATTAAAATAAAATAACAGTCAAGAGTGCAGAATGTGGTGCCAGGGATATAGCTCATCAGTGCAGTGCGTGAGGTCCTCAGTTCTATTCCCAGTACCCACAAAAACAAACAGAAAGAGTGAGCTGGGCATGGTGGCGCACACCTGTAATCCCAGCACTCGGGAGGCTGAGGCAGGAGGATCGTTGTGAGTTCAGACCAGCCTACGCTACAAAGTGAGCTCAAGGCCAGTCTGAACTGTGTAGCAAGACCCTGTCTCAAAAATACAAACAAACAAACAAGGGAGGGGATATTGAAGAAAATGCAGGAATCTGGGCACGACTTGGGAATCCCTTTAAGGACATCTCCAAGTAATACATTATGTTAACTTAGGAGAACTATATTATCTCCAGGAAGGCATTCACTGCAGGAGATTCCTGCAGCTACAGTCTCCTTTAAGTTAATTGGGGTTGGAGCCAGACATCCTCACCTGTGGGCTTATCTCATCCTTTGAGGCATCACAGCTTCACAGGCCAATACAGGCCTCAGCAGTGACCAGTGACTCATAGAGGTTCATTTACTGTGAATCCACCGCCCGTTTCAGACAAGGTGCCTCAGCTTTGAACAACTCACCAGTCAACATGGAAAGCCAATTAGTCAATATTAAATCCAGCTCAGAGCCACTCTGTAGTGGTCTCCCACACCTCACCTCCACTACCCCTGACCCGTTTTCAGTCTTACACAGTAAATCCCAAACATTCTAAAAATACATTTTCCTTTCAATAATGTATACCTGCTTCAGGTTTAATGTTTCTGAGGCTGAGAAACACTGCATATTTTACACAGATAGTATTGTGGCAAAGATAGTAAGTTAAGGCTCTTATGAAGACAGAGGGGTGGAAGAGTGGTTGGTCTTGGGCAATGTACATGCTATTTTTCTTTTAACTAGTTGTTCAGTCATGTGTCTCTTGTCACATAACTTCTGCCTTTCTGTTTTTTGTTCTTGTTATTCTGACTAGTCAGACAGGTATGAGTTGTGTACCTCTTAATTAAAACTAAAAAATAGTGTTTTCTTATCTGAGCAGGATAAAATTCCATGTGTTTTTCCAATATTGAGAGCAATACAAACACACATATGCATATAGCATTTCATACACATATGTACTTATGAAAATATTATGTAACATATGGGTAGTCACAATTATTATGAAAGTTATAATAAAGATAACTTTATGAAAGTTATAATAAAGATAGTGTTATCAATGTCATGTGATTGTGTTATCCTTCTCTGTGTATCTCATCCTTCATTTTACTTAACCTGGTCATGTGATGACATCACATGAAAACTGGTGATGAAGCCAGGCATGGTGGCATATGCCTATAATCCCAGCACTGGGGAGGCTGAGGCAGGAGGATCATTGCAAGTACAAGACCAGCCTGGGCTACAGAGTGAGCTCAAGACCAGCCTGAACTGCATAGCAAGTCTGTCTGTCTCAAAAAGAACAACAACAAAAAAAAATGAAAAGAAAATTGGTGATGAAATAAATATAAATAGCCGGGCATGGTGGCGCATGCCTGTAATCCCAGCACTCAGGAGGCTGAGGCAGGAGAATCATTGCAAGTTCGAGGCCAGCCTGGGCTACAAAGTGAGCTCAAGGCCAGCCTGAACTGCATAGCGAGACCCTATCTCAAAAAGACAAAAAAAAGAGAAATAAACATAAATAATTGATCCAAGTGGCATTAGATTTAATCCTGCAACTGAGAATGGCACATGATTTAAACTTTGTCAGTGTTCACTTCTAGAATTTTAATTTAATATCATTTGACCCTGCTGAAATGGCAGAATTTGAGCATATGGATAAAGAGGGACTATTATGGTTTAGTTGGTGCTACACCCCAAATACTGAAGAGACACTGGCCAAAACTGTGCACTACAATTCAGGTGGCCCTGCATGAAAATTTTTGGTAGGTACATGGAATCCTTTAGTTCTCATGCATTTAGTTCTTACACTAGTGGTCATTGCATGATTGTCCTACACACTGGTGGCTCCGTATTCTGTGGTCATAATATGACATCATTCTTATCACTAGGCATTCTCTTTCTGGGAACCATATTCTGTAGATTTTCTATAGAACCCAGGGAAGTGTGGTGAAATGTTGACACACTTGCATACTCACTCACTATTTAAACATGATTGACTTGCTGTAGAAGGCATGCTGTTTATCTTTTGCTTTGATAAAAAAAAAGTAAATATGTAATAGGAAATAGGAATATTTCAATGATGGATCTTTCAGTAATAGAGGAGCAAGAAATCACTGGAAAAGCTAGAGAGGGGATGGGAAGGGAAATTACAAAGAATTCAGATGTGTCATATACATCAACTGCCTTCCAAAGAAGACCATTCACAGTATATTCTGCAAATGTGAACCAATAAAAATGTTAAATCTTTCAAAATAGATTTGCTTTTGTGAATCTTTACCGTATCATCAGCATGCCATGATACCTGGTAAAGCACACTTCTGGCTGTGTCTGAATGAATCCTTCTAGAGAAATTTACATGTGAGTCACTGATCTGAGTGGGAAACAAGTTATAAGAAAAAATGGGTGTCATCTAAGAGCGCTGGGCATTGGTGGATCAAAGAAAATGTGGCAAAAAATAGCTTCAGCATACTTGAACTTTCTGAAAGAAGTGTGATTTATTAATAGTAACAGATACATAGATCAGATATTTTCTAGGGGTTCAGTGGCAAAGACACAGTGAAAACCCTTTAGGGTATGTCCATCTGGGAGTATGTTTTTGGAAAATATATTAACAAATATTGACATCAAAATTTTTATATTTTTCTATAGTCTCCTTTACAGGCATGCTTTCAAAAGGGTTTTCTAAATAGTTTTTCTTTTTTTGTTTGTTTTTGTTTTTTTCCGGTACCAGGAATTGAACTCACGACCTCGTGCTTGCCAGGCAGGCGCTGTGCCACTGAGTTAAATCCCCAGCCCCTCTAAATAGTCTTTCATATGTAAGGTTTCTCTTCCCTGTGGATATTTTCACATATTTCAAAATACCCATGTATACCAAGTGTTTTGCACATTGCTTACTTTATGTTTTGACGGCTGTGTGACATAGTTCTAAGGGTCACAGTCTCTGTCAGCTGAATTTTTTCCAATTTTTTTACACAGAGTTCTTCCACGGTGTGTGTTCCCTTATTTATAAAATGAGAACCTACAGCAAATCTTTTTCCACACTGCATACATACATATTTCTCCCTAGAATGTAATAATTCCTGAATTTGACTGCATTTTTGTATACTGAATGATTTCCCATGTTGCTCATAGGGTTATTTCCAACTGTGAATTTCTTCATGGATGTGACAATTACTCTGCTGGCTCAAACATTTCCCATGTTGCTAACATAAATAGGGTTTTCCCCAAGTGTGAGTTCTATCATGTTTTATAACACCTTTTTGTATTAAATGCTTTCCCACATTCCTTGCCCACATAAGGTTTCTTCCCAGTGTGAATTTTCTCATGTTTTTGACAATGATACTGTCTACCGAAGGCTTTCCCACACTGCTTACATGCATAGGGTTTCTCCCCAGTGTGAGTTCTTTCATGCACTTTATACTGGCTCTGTGTTCTGAATGCTTTCCCACATTGCTTGCAAGGATAAGGTTTTACTCCAGTGTGAGTTCTATCATGTATTTCACGAGAACTCTTGGTATTGAATGATTTCCCACATTTCTTACACACATGAGGTTTCTCTCCACTGTGGTTTCTTTCATGTGTTTGACAGTAATGGTATGTAGTGAATGCCTTCCCACACTGCTTACATACGTAGGGTTTCTTCCCAGTGTGAGTTCTTTCATGATTTTGACAGTTTCTGTGTCTGCTGAATGCCTTTCCACATTGCTTACACACATAGGGTTTCAACCCAGTGTGTGTTCTTTCATGATATTTATAGTCAGTGCTTGTACTGAATGCTTTCCCACATTGCTTGCACACGTAAGGTTTCTCCCCAGTGTGACTTCTTTCATGTATCTGACAACTATATTGTCTAGTGAAAGCTTTCCCACACTGCTGACACACATATGGTTTCTCCCCAGTGTGTGTTCTTTCATGACTTTGACAGTGACTATGTCTGGTGAATGCCTTTCCACACTGCTTACATACATAGTGTTTCTCCCCAGTGTGTGTTCTTTCATGACTGTAACAGTTACTTTTTCTGCTGAATGCTTTCCCACATTGCTTACACACATATGGTTTCTCCCCACTGTGGGTTCTTCTATGGGCACAGAGTATGGAGACATTGGCAAATCTCTTTCCACATTGCTTACATACATAGGGTTTCTCCCCAGTGTGAGTTCTTTCATGTATTTGAAACCTACTCTTTTTACTGAAAGATTTCCCACATTGCTTACATATGTAGGGTTTCTCCCCAGTGTGAATTATTTTCTGTTTGTGAAAGGAATTACTACGAGCTAATCCTTTCACACATGCTTTAGTTACAGAGGGTATCTCTCCAGCATGCCTTCTTTCATGGACTCGAATATGGTACGAAGAAATAAAAGTTTTCCCACACTGTTTACATACATATGGATTCCTCACACTGTGATTTCTTTCACGGATTTGAACACCACTTGGTGTACTGGAGCCTTTCACACTTTTCTTACCTACTAAAGTTTTCTTACCAGGGTGAGTTATTTCACTAAGATCAGAGTTGGCCTCCCCACACTGCCCATATTGATCGAGTTTCTCTCCAGTCTTTCTCATCTTATGCATCTGAAAGTACTGGAATTTACTGCAGGTTTGTCCATGTTCATTACATTGATATAGCTTCTCTGCAAATCTCAAATATCTGTCTGCATCACTTCTGTAAACAAAATGAACAAAATTATAAATCACAATGAGAAAGGTATCCATATTAATAACTGGTGAATGCTTTTCCACATTGCTTACATACATAGTGTTTCTCCCCAGTGTCTGTTCTTTCATGACTGTGACAGTTACTTTTTCTTTTTCTTTTCTTTTTTTTTTTTTTTTGGTCTTTTTTGAGACAGGGTCTCGCTATGCAGTTCAGGCTGACCTTGAGCTCACTTTGTGGCCCAGGCTGGTCTCGAACTTGCAACGATCCTCCTGCCTCAGCTTCCCAAGTGCTGGGATTACACCACCACACCCAGCTGACAGTTACTTTTTCTGCTGAATGCTTTCCCACACTGCTTACACACATACAGTTTCTCCCCAGTGTGGGTTCTCCTATGGGTGCAAAGTATGGAAATACTGGCAAATCTTTTTCCACCTTGTTCACATACCAGGACAAGGTCTGGTTTGATGCCTACTAAGACGTTTTAATGATGAATTGACTTAATGCCCTGGAGGATGCCTTCAAAAGACCCATTTTCAATAGGGTGATTTTCATGAGAATTTCAAATTGGTATAGGATTCCAATACATGATATCAAATTTTACTTTAGGGGATGGCTACATATGTGTACACCATATCTATCATTTTGTCATCACTTCCCCCATCACTCCCTAATTTTCTCCATAAAATGATCACTTTTCCCATCTGCAAAAGTCAGGCTGTTTCTTATCATTTCTACTTTATTTTATTCCCTAAATATACTTTTCATTTCTTTTTTGTTTATTTGTTTGTTTGTTTTGTTTTTGTTTTTTTTCCGGTACAGTGAATCGAACTCATGACCTTGCGCTTGCCAGGCAGGCGCTGTGCCACTGAGCTAAATCCCCAGCCCCTATTTTTCATTTCTTTGTTTGTTTTTTTTGTTTTTGTTTTTTTTGGTTTTTCTCCGGTACCGGGAACCGAACTCACAACCTTGCGCTTGCCAGGCAGGCGCTTTTGCCGCTGGGCTAAATCCCCAGCCCCTATTTTTCATTTCCTATGTAAGAAAAAACATGGTATTTCACTTTCTGTGTCTGACATATTTCACTTAACATTATGGGATGGAGTCCCATTTATTTTTTTGACAAAAGAAATCATTCTTTTTTATGGCTGAATATGTAGCATTTTCCCCCCATAGGTTAGAAGTAAATACAGGTCTTAGGCAGAATTCCCTACCCAGTTTTATTATTTCTTATTTTGAGAGAGATTCTTATGGACTGTTACTTAGGTCAGGCTGAACTTCAGGTTGTCATCTTGCTGACTCATCTTCCCATAGTGTTGGGGAATAGAAGAATGTATCACCTTGCTAAGCCTATCCCACATTTTCTTCGTCCAGGCATCCAGGGATGGCCACCTAGGCTCTTCCCAGAGCTCTGCTATTGTGAGTTGTTTCTCAGAGCTTAGATATTGTGAATACCAATGCATGCCCTCCTTGCAACACCAATATGCATGCATATGTCACCAAAATTTGATAATTTTAACTCATTACAGAATATAGCCAGGAAGGTACAACTGGATCAAATGGAAACTTATGTTTTCCTTTTTGAGACAGCTGTATATTGATTATGTTATTTACTCTTTTCACGTCTATGCACAATACTGAATTGCAATTTCATACATTTAGATGATGATCATGAAATAACTTTTTATTATTTTTCTTATATAGCAGATAGTGTCATTTGTTCCATAATGTCACTATTATCTCAGTTTCTTTTCTTTTTTTTTTTTTTTTCTGTCTTTTTGTGACAGAGTCTTGCTATGCAGTTCAGGCTGGGCTTCAGCTCACTTTGTAGCCCAGGCTGGTCTCGAACTCACAGCAATCCTCCTGCCTCAGCTTCCTGAGTGCTGGGATTACAGGTATGTACCACCACACCTGGCTTATCTCAGTTTCTTATAGTGGAATGTTTCTGTACTACACTATCAGATTGTGGAATATAAATGTGTACGCATGGTTGGAAATTTTTGTGAGACCAAGTAAGTTTGAAAATGGTTTCATTTCTTTAGTTTCCTTGTTTGTAACATTTCTGCTCACAAACTGACTCTTGAGGAACATTATTTTTCTTGGGAGTAAAATTACCTTAGATTTCTCAAGCAGTTTTTGTATTCTTCTACAATTTGCTGGTTATCCCTGGTTCTTCCTGAATTGTAGACACAGAAATACAAAAAGTTACAATAGCATTATGTAAATATTAATCGATTCTAGTTAGGTTCATGATGTAATATAACCATGCCTGAGATATTCTTGAAAATATAGTAACATACTATTAAATTAAATTACATCAGAGAGGAAGAGCCAATGTTCCATGTTCGTATAAGATAGAAAATGTCATCCTTACCTACAGCAGTCACATTCATAAGTGTTTCCCACATCACATCTCTATAGAGCTTTTTTTGGGATGGATTCAGCAAAGCCCACTCTGCTGCAGTGAAGTTCACAGCTACATCCTCAAAGGTCACTGTCTCCTAAATAACGACATATTTCCTGAAGGTTCAGACTCACATCCTGAGATATCACAACTCTTTTCATAAAACGCTAAATTGTGGATGATTCCTTCAAATATTAATTATATGTCTTGGTCAACAAGCCTATTTATAGGTCAGTATTTTCACAGTAATTTTCATGGTAGACTGTCATACACTGATAAAGCAAAGCAGAATAGTAGCACTGCTTGTCCTGCAGGGTCACCTCCATTGTACTTGTGCACTGTTTCTAAAGCAAAGCTCATGCAGGGAGCCTGCAAACCACCATACACAAAACACTGAGGCAGACAAATATCTAATGAATGGTTCTGATAGACCATATCTTGTATCACTTTTCAACTCTGTTTTTTTTTATAGCATTGAGTCCATCTTTCTTTGTCATTAGGCAGCACTGAAACATGAATTTGGCCAAAAAAAAAAAAAAGAAACATGAATTTGGTTTCATAAGAAATTTAACTAAACATTAAGTAAGATTTATGAATAATTGAAATGCTAATAGAAACAAAACTTTTTGGAGCAAGTCTATGGACAATGAAAATATGGGAAGGGTGGAATATTATCTTATGGCACAGTGGCACCAAATGATCACCTTGCATTCAGATATAAGAAATTCAAGGATGGGCCTTTTGTTCCCCTATGAAGAATTCTTTCTCCTTCTTTTCTTTCTTCTCTCTCTCTCTCTCTCTTTCTCTCTCTGCTATGTGCCGTAAGACCTGGCACAAGATTGGGGCTTACTGCAGGGGACTCTGATAACTAATGCCCAATGTGGCCTGGGTTCACCCACCTGGTGGATTTACCAGAAGTGCTTCAATGGCATTCGGATCTCATGGGACAATTCCAGAGATGTCTGGTGTAGAGCTAAGTTTCACCAGTACTTTGCATGAGTTCTTCAGGAACTAGCTCCATTTTTCACAGGACAAGGGCCAGGGATCTAGCTCCATTTTTCACAGGACAAGGGCCAGGGATCTAGCTCCATTTTTCACAGGACAAGGGCCAGGGATATAGCTCAGTGGCACGAGCGCTTGCCTGGCAAGCACAAGGTCCTGAGTTCTATTCCCAGTACCAAAAAAGACAAAAGGTTACAGAGGACAAAGACCGCAAACCCAAGCTAGGATCTATCACTCACGTATGAAAATGCAGCCTCTGTTCCTGATCTGAGTGGGTATTCACTTCAGATAGAATTCTATATACTCAGTTTTAAAAGAGAAACAAATTTTACATACGTGATTTCACTTCATGTCTCTCTGCCAACATGTCAATTATACTTTAAAGTGAAATCCAAATATTGAAAAACTTCAAAACACCAACATATTTCATTTCTAATCTCACTGGAAAAAAAAAAAGAAATTCAAGGATGGTGTAAGGGAGGGTAATGAGAGGAAGAATATGAGTGAAATATATTAAATGCAAGGAAAAGAAAGATAGTAAATATTCACTAAACACAAGGAAAACTTCAGCCAAATAGTATTACCAGAATGGGGCACTTCTTTTATTTGGTTGTTTTTGTTTTTGTTTTTGTTTTTTGTCTTTTTTTGAGACAGGATCTCGCTATGCATTTCAGACTGGCCTTGAGCTCACTTTGTAGCCCAGGCTGGCCTCGAACTCACAACGATCCTCCTGCTTCAGCCTCCTGAGTGCTGGGATTACAGGCATGTGCCACCACGCCCGGTGGGGCATTCTTTATAATAATAATTTTAAAAATCAAGCAAGCAAACAAGTACTACATTCTTTTTCAAACAGTATACTGTTCTCCTGTTGCAGTTGCTAAGGAGAAACAGGTTAACACAGCACTCCAAACAGAAAACAGTTTGGTGCCCGTCATGTTCCACAGAGGACTCTATGCAGATTTGGAGGAATGAGTCTACAGATGCTACTTGACATTCAAAGGGAAAATGCCTTGATCTACCTAAAGCAAATTGAAGATAAAATATATTGAAATATATTGAAAAGGCTCAAAATATACCTGACTGAGCAAACATCATTGCTAAGCCTTGGATCCTTTAAACCTGCTCAACACACATGCCTTGGTCTCTATTTGGGAACATTTATGGAACACAAATCCAAATTTATAATAGAACACTAAATATAGCATATATTTTACTGGATGTAGTACACTGTAAATCACTGGTTGCTCACCCTTGGCGTCCTGTTTCTGAAAGAGCAATGACTCATTACTGTTATCTGCCTTCATGAAGTATTGCATTGCATTGTGCCATGTACCACTATTGTGAAAAATAAATAAATTTTAAAATTAAATATAAGATTTGTACTAAAAACCTTTTCATTTCTAGAGAGTTAAATCATGGCCTCATGCGCATTAGACTAGTTAGTTTAGAGTAGATGTACACCCTACCATATTTATTTCATATTGAAAAAGGATCTTGCTTAGTTATCCAGGCTGGGCTTGGTGATTTAATATACCTGTCCAAGTCTTCCAAGTGGCTGGCATTCCGGCATTAAGGGTGTGCACCACTATGCCTCAGTGATCTTTACCCAAGAACTGAAATCTTTGTAAATCCTGGGATTTTTAAAAATCCCAATCTTAAACTAGCAAGGTGGCACATGTCTGTGTTTCCAACCACCAAGGAGGTAGAAATAGTATCAAAATTTGTCCCAAACCTGGGCAACTTAGTAAGACCTGGGCTCTAAAATTAAGAAATAAAAACAAAAAATTGGGGGAAAGTAGCTCAGGGCAAAATTCCTGAGTTCAGTTCCCATACAATAAAAAAAGAACAATCCCCTACTTCAGTCATTGTTTTATACAAAGTCCATCTCAATCAGTGTTCCAGTTTTTAAGAAAATATCTAGAAACACTCCATGGACTACAACAATTATTTAAAAAACAACACCTCTTTCCCTTTCCACTCATACTAATATCACATGAATATGTCCCTGTAGATGTCCCAGTTCAATGCATTTCTCAGCATGGGTTTAGCCATCAGACCCTTCATGAAGTTGTCCTTAGCAGGAACACTTCCCCTCCCTTGCTAAAACATTAACATCCCCTCCAGCTTTCTCAGCATTCTAAATTCTATGGAAAGCCTCACTTAAGTAGTGTTACTGTAAAGAATATTTTAATTAGTTACCATATAAATAAGGATCTAGCAGGGAAATGGCCTCAGGTAGTAATTAGCCATTTCAATAACAATTAAAATGAGAAGCTGGCTGGGGGAATGCCTGTAATCCCAGCACTTGGGAGGCTGAGGCAGGAGGATCATTGCAAGTTTGAGACCAGCCTGGGCTACAAAGTGAGCTCAAGGCCAGTCTGAACTGCATAGTGAGACCCTGTCTCAAAAAAAATAAAAAAAAAAGCTGGGTATGGTACAGCACACATGTAATCCCAGGCTGAAGCAGGAGGATCACCTCAAGTTCGAGGCCAGCATGTGCTTCATAGTGAGTTCAAGGCCAGTTTGAGCTACTACACAGTGTGACCTCGTCTCAGAAAACCAAAGAGAAAGAGACAGAGACAGAGACAGCGAGACAGAGACAGAGAGACAAAGAGGGAGAGAACAGAAAAAAATTTCCTAGGATTTTGGACCAAGAGTGAACTTTCTGCACAAGGAACGCAGCCATCTCCCTATTAAAATGAGGTGCACACTTGGGAGGTTGAGGCAGGACGATCATCATGAGTTCGAGACCAGCCTGGGCTACAAAGTGAGCTCAAGGCCAGCCTCAACTGCATAGCGAGGCCCTGCCTCAAAAAAGACAAAAAAATAAAAATTAAAAAAAAAAAAAGATGCGTTGCAGCAAGTCCTACTAAGCTACTCAGTTTCCAGGAATTTAAAATACAAAATTACCATTTTTTCTAAGTTCATTTCATGAATACTCTGTGTGCCAAGGAAATGAGAAAGCCTGAGTTGAAAGTGATTGAAGTGCACAGACCCATCTGTAATAGGCGGTCATTAAACAATTCTGGTAGGTGGTCACTAAAAAATTCAGCTAGGTGGTCGCGGCCACATGGATACGAACTTGTGATACTTCCTGGAAATCTGGGAGATACTGTTATTTCCAATAAAATCTCTCCTAACATCCTGCTTTTGTTTCCGAGACCTAATTCTTCAGTGTGTGAGACCAAATGAAGAACTCTCTTCTATCACTGAGTACAGATCTCACATAAAGTGTTGTTGTTTTTCTCATTGCCGAATATATGGAATCCAGGGTTTTGCCTAAAGCGCATGCTGTTTCCAGACTCATGGAGCTACAGCTGTGCCCGGGGCACCCAAGAAGGCTTTCTGGGCTGGCAGTGTCTCAGTGGGACAGGACGCTGGCGATGTTGAATGGTCATTGCCTGAGCAAAGGGGCAAAGGGACAGATGATGCAGCACCAAAGACTTAGGAAGACCTCAGTGTCGGGAGCTGAGCGGGAAGGCTGTAGATTGCCGTAGCGGGTTTTGACCACTTCGTTCAAAAATGCACCCGATTCCATCCCACCCCAGCTCCTGTCCCATAACATCACCATTGGATGGCTTGATGCTCTCCCAGGATCCTTTTAATAACGGCTTACAGCCAGTAGAAATTATGGGAGAAGATGATCTCATCCGCTGGACTCTCCCACCAACGCAATCACAGGGTGCACTTTGACGCCATGACACAGGAAGAGCCCTCCTTCTTCAGCCAATCTGATTGGATAGTTCAGACAGCTGAGTCTTCATCACTGATTGGCTGTTTGTTCCATTGCCTGCAGCTGAGCAGAGAGTGGGTCGAGAAACAAACCTCTTGCAGCCAGGGCAGAGCTGAAATGGGAGATTGTAATCCAGGAATTTCTGCTCACACTTAGCAAAATAGACAGCAGAACAGTGATCAGAATGGTCAGACACCTATAGAACTATGGGTTTGCTGATTATCCATGGTGTTCCCAAAAGTGAAATAGATGAGAAACCTACAAAATTTTACTAGATTTATAAAATTAAAAAAAAGTAAGGGCAAATAACAGAGACTTACTTCAAACTGCGATAAGTGGGAATCACTTACCGGAACCAGTTCCTAGATATGAGCCAGTTTACAGGCCCAGAACCCTTGAATGAAGAGGAGACCAGGTCCCCTTGATGAGGTGTTGCAGAGATTTTTAGCATTATCAAGGCCTTGAAGGGCTGGGGATACAGCTCTGTGGCACAGAGCCTGCCTGGCAAATGCAAGGTCATGAGTTCAATTCCCAGTACCAAACAACAACAACAAAAAACAACAAAAAGAAACCCAAAAAAACCGAATTTGTTCAAGGCCTTGAAGAATGCAGGTGGTGTTGTTTTCCATTTAATTCTTCCATTTGGCCTGTGCAGAAGATGGATGAATCTCAAAGAATCATGGTACGTTATCTCAAACTGAATCAAGTTGTGAGTCCAATTGCAGCTCCTGCACTAGGTGTGGTGTCTTTGGTTTAAGATTAACACATTACCTGGTCTTGGTATGCAGCTATTGATTTGGTAAATGCCTTCCTTCTCCATATATATCCATATGGCTCATCTGAAACAGTGTGCTTTCAGTGGACAAGGCCAGGGATACATGTCACTGTCCTATCTGAGGGTTCTATTAACTCTCTGGCCCTGTGTCACAAATTAGGTGGCAGGAATGTTGACTGCATTTCTCTTCAACAAGGTATCACTCTTGTCCATTACACTGATAACATTATGCTGATTCGACAAAGTGAGCAGGAAGTAGAATTCATTCTGGATTTGTTAGCCAAGTATTTGAGAGCCAGAAGAGGGGAAATAAATCATACTGACTTGTGATCCCTTAACTCAGATAAATTTCTAGGAGTACAATCATGTGGGTCATGTACAAATATCCCTTCTAAGGTAAAAGATTGTTAGGGTTGAGACACTCGCCGCGTGAAGGAAGACTCCAAGAGACGTTCTCTCATGCAAAAAGCAAGGGGATTTTATTCACCAAGCATGCATGGGGCTCACTGAGCTCGCAGGAACAGAGCGCCCGGAGCCAGGTCAGTTCTGGCTCTTTAACCCGAAAAACCACAAAGGAGGGGGCTTGCAAGCGTCATTACAGAAGCAGATGGCATTGGTTAATACACATAGTTTTTTTACACTTATTGGGCCTCTATGATGTATAGTGTGCAGGAATGCGGAGTTTTTCTGCTTATGGGCAAGGGGAGGGGGAGATATCTGTGTCAACACCAGATGTTCTTTCTTCCAAGGACAGAAGATAATGCTCTGGCCCTTCTGGCGCTCCCTCCTTTCCGGGCAATCTCAAACCTGTTGAAGCTGCTTATCTATGAGTCACAAGAAGCCAAGTATTTGAGAGCCAGAAGAGGGGAAATAAATCATACTGACTTGTGATCCCTTAACTCAGATAAATTTCTAGGAGTACAATCATGTGGGTCATGTACAAATATCCCTTCTAAGGTAAAAGATGAGTTGTTGATCTGGTTTCCCTTACAACCAAAAAAGAGGCACAATGCCTATGGTCCTACTAGGACATTGGGGGCAACATATTCCTCACTTACGTGTTTTACCATGACTCATTTACTGTGTAACTCAAAAATCTGCTAGTTTTTTTTTTTCGATACCAGAAATCGAACTCACGATCTTGCGCTTGCCGGGCAGGAGCTGTGCAGCTGAACTAAATCCCCAGCCCCCAAAATCTGCTGTTTTTGAGTGTGCCCCTGAACAAGAAAAGGTTCTGCAACAGGTCCAGGCTGCTTTGCAGGGTGTTGTGCCACGGGGGTCATATGATCCAGGAGATCCAATGATATTTCTAGTGGCAGTGGCAGGTAGTGATGCTATTTAGTCTCTAGGAGGCGCTCCTGTGTAATTGCTATACAGACCATTAGGAGTTGGAGCAAGAATCCGGCATCATCGGCAGACAAGTGCTCTCTCTTTGAAAAACAGCTCTTGGCCCATTATTGGGCCTCAATGGAAACTGAATGCTTAACCATGGGACACCAGTTTGTCATGCGTCCTGACCTGCCTATCATGAGCTATTATCTGATTCAGTGAGTCATAAGTTTGACATGCTGTTATGATTGATACATTGTGTCAACTTGAGGAGCCTAGAAGCTTAACTAAGTGACTCAGCAGTTCTCCATCCTGGGGTGAAAAGGACATGCCCTTACCACTCTGGGATGTTGTTCATTGTGTCAACTTGAGAAGTTTGGGAAGGTTAACTATGTGACTCAGCAGGGAGCCAGGGTCCTTACTTTGTATGCATCCTGAGCCTGTGCAGGAGGAGGGCATGGAGGTGGTGTGGGGGTGGGCAGAGAGCCAATATACAGTATAAGGAGGGAAAAGAGGCTTGCTCCTCTCCCTGTGCTCTTGCTGCTTTTGCTGTCATCTGCTGCCTTGAAGTGTTGCCCTACTGCCACGCCACCCTGCCTTGGAGCCAGCTTGTGGACTAAAACCTCCACAAAGTGTGAGCTAAAAAAACCTTTCCTTCCTTAATTTTGGGTATTGGGTATTTTGTCTCAGCTAGAAGAGAAAATTAACCAAGACACATGCACAGCAACAGTCTATCATTAAATGGGAATGGTATATGTGTGATCAAGACAGAGCAGATCTAGAGGGTACAAGTAAGTTACTTGATGAAGTACCTTAGATGCCCATGGCTCCTACTCCTGCTCTGTCACCTTCTGTTTCCCAGCATGCACCTATGGCCTCATGGGGTGTACCATATGATCAGCTGGAAAAGGTAGAAGGGCTGTATATGTATGAATGGTTTTGTGTGTTAAGCAAGCACCATCTGCAATTGGACAGATGCAGTATTACAGCCACTTCCCAGGACACCCCTGATTGACAATGGTGAAGAGAAATCTTCCCAGGGGGCACAACTTTGGGCAGTATACCTGGTAGTACATTTTGTTTGGGAGGAAAAATGGCCAGATGTGCAACTGTATCCTGATTAATGGGCTATAGCCAATGGTCTAGTTGGGTGTTCAGGAATGTAAAGGAACGTAACTGGAAAATTGGTGACAAAGATATTTGGGGATGAGGTATGTGGATAGTCCTATCTTTATGGGCAAGAGATTTAAAATTTGTATCCCATGTAAAGATTCACTAAAATGTGACCTCAGCGGAAGAGGATTTTAACAATAAATTGGATAAACTGACCACTTCCGTAGAAAGTAGTCAACTTCTTTCTTCAGCCACCCCCTCAATGCCCAGTGAGCTCATGAAAACTGTAGGCATGTTGGCAGGAATGAATGTTATGCATGTTCAGCGACATGGATGCCCACTCACCAAGGCTGCTCTGGCTACAGCACCGCTGAAGGCACAATATGCCAGATGGAGAGACCGACATTGATTCTGCACTATGGCACCATTCCCTGGGGTGTTCTGCTTTCAACGTGGTGGCTGGTCAATTGTATTCCATGAAGGGAATATGCTTTGTCCTTAGTGGAGTAGATATATATCCTGGATAGATTTGTCTTTGCTGAACATAATGTTTCTGCCAAAACTCCCATTTATGGATGCATATAATGCCTTATACACCATCATGGAATTTCACACCGCATAGGCTTAGATCCCAATGAATACATTTGATGGGCAAATAGTGAGGTGATGGGTTCATGCTCATGGAATTCAGTGGTCTTGCCATGTTCCTCACCATCCAGATGCAGCTGGATTGCTAGAAAGGTGAGGTGATCTTTTGAAGGCACAGTTGCTGCTTCAGTTAGGTAGCAATAGCTTGCAGGGCTGGAGCAAAGTTCTGCAAAAAGTTGTGTATATGTTTTGGAGCCAGTATCCATGCTATGGTTCTGTATCTCCCATAGCCAGGATTCATGTGTCCAGGAATGAAAGGGTGGTAAGAGTGGTACCCTTCATCATAACCCATAGTGATCTATCAGCAAAATTTTTGCATTCTCTGACTTTATGCTCTGCTGGCTTAGAAAGAAGTCTTCGTTGTAGAGGAAGGAAAGCTTGTACCCAGAAGCACAACAAAGATACCATTTAACTCAACATGAAGACTTCCTCCCTGGTCATTTAGGTTTCCTTATGACTCTGAGGAAACAATTTAAGAAGGAAGTTACAGTGTTTAGGGGGTGATTGACCAAGACTGTCAAGGGAAAATTAAACTATTATTCCACAATGAAGGAAATAATACACTTGGAGTGCAGAAGTTTCCTTACGGAGTTGCCTAGTATCACCATGTGATCATTAAAATCAATGGGAAACTATAATAATCCAATCAAGGCAGAATGTCAAATGGTCCACAACCTTCTGTAATGAAGGTATGCATCACCACACAAGGGAAAGAACCAAGGCCTGCTGAGGTGCTTGATAAAGGCCAAAGAATACAGAATGGGGAGTACAAGGTAGTTCTAAAAGCAAGCGATGACCCCATGATCAGCTTCGGAAATGAGGGTTGTTGGTAATAGTTCTTTCCTAATATGCTACCAATGCAATATAATATTGATAGATGTAATATTGGTTGTCTTTTTAAACCTGTTGTATTGTTTCAGTTATGAAATATTAGGAGTAAGCATCACCCAAAGAAAGCTTCCTTTTATTCTGGGTAGGGGAATTAGTGTGGTTCTATTTGTATCCAGGGTAGTTATAACATGTTAGGTATATTTATGAACTCGTTATTGTATCTGGAGACTATGGTTTAAAGAAAATGTGTGGTTGTGACATTGTCAAGAGGTAATTGCTGATAGTTAACCAGCTGTGTCAACTTGAGTACTATATGCCCAACTAAATTTGCCCAATAAATTTATGTATGTGGAAAACCCAACCTAGGGAAGATTGTTTGCAGAATGTTATATTTCCACATCTGACTGTGTGGGCAGCCATTGTAAGGCAATCTTGTAAATACATATTTGTATATCTCATATTAAAAGTGTTTCTTTAGTAAGCATTGACAGATGCGTTACTACAATTCATGGTATCTTTTTACAGATGAGTTATGGTCCATCTGAGCCATCTGATCTGTCACAATCAGAAAATCACAGTTGTATGGTTTATTTTTTGGTAGTTGTGTTAGAATTACCACAAAATTAGAAGTCATAAAAATATAAGCATGAAAAGTAAAATGCTGATGGTAAGAAAACAAAATTTTATGTAAATTATAATGACAGTAATATGAAAGCAAAATAGGCAAAATTATGTACTTGATATAATAAAATTATGTTGGGATATATGCAGGTATCTTATTAGCATATGAAAAACAAAAGATTTGCTAACCTATAAGTAGTGGAAAAATGATTGAACTTTTCAAAAGCACATGTTCACATTTCTAAATATGAATACAAAAATATACTACAACATCAAATAAAAAGTATCATTTTTTATACAATATGAAATATATACACCAGGAAAATTAAAAGCAAATCTATTGGTAAATCCTATCAATTAAAAACAATAATATTTATTTTTTAGGGGTCTATACTTCCCAATTATAAAAGCAAAACAAAATCAAATCTACACGCGCTGGGGATTTAGCTCAGCAGCACAGCGCTGGCCTGGCAAGCAAAAGGTCATGAGTTCGATTCCTGGTACCAGAAGAAAAACCAAAAATAAATAAATAAATAAATAAAATCTACATAAATACTAACCCTACTTGGAAGTGAGAAATACATTTTAATTCATCTTGTTTAATTAGACTGTATATTACATTAAAAGACATTGGTGTGCACAAAAATATTATGTCAATGAATTTTAAAGACTATAGATACATAGTTCAGATATTTATAACTGATTTACTGAAAAAACACAGAAGGAATATATTGTATGATATCTCCAACTGGGAGTCTATTTTCTTTTTTTTGTGGTACTGGGGATTGAACTCAGGACCTTGCATTTGTCAGGCAGGCGCTTATGGCACTGAGCTATATCCCCAGCCCCTGAGTCTATTTTCTGAAAAATTTAGAAGACACACTGACATTAAAATTTTTAATTTGTACTGGTCTCCACTTCATGAGGAATTCTCACAGGATTTTCAAAATAGACTTACATATATAGGGTTTTTTCCCTATAGTTAATAAAAATTCTGTTCAATGAATATTTTCTCAACATTGCTTATATACATAGGGTTCCTCCCCAGTGTGAGATCTATGTATATAAAATGACACATCAGAAAATTTTTTTCTGCGTGGATTATGTGCATAGGGTTTCATGCCTGTGTGAGTTTTTTCATGCCTTTGACAATACTGAAGCATAGTGAATGCCTTCCCACATTGCTTGCACACATAAGGTTTCTCTGCAGTGTGAATCTTTTCATGTTTTTGACAATATTTATGTGTTGCAAATGCCTTCCCACATTGCTTGCACACATAAGGTTTCTCCCCTGTGTGAATTTTTTCATGTATGTTATAATATCCCTTTGTAGTGAATGCTTTCCCACATTGCATGCATGCATAAGGTTTCACCCCACTGTGATTTCTTTCATGTATTTGACAATAACGGTGTGTAGTGAATGCTTTCCCACATTGCATGCATGCATAAGGTTTCACCCCACTGTGATTTCTTTCATGTATTTGACAATAACGGTGTGTAGTGAATGCTTTCCCACAATGTTTACATGCATAGGGTTTCTCCCCAGTGTGAGTACTTTCATGGCTTTGACAACGAGTGTACTGGCTGAATGATTTCCCACAGTGCCTACATATATAGGGTTTTTCCCCAGTGTGAATTCTTTCATGGAGTCGATAGCCACTATATATCCTGAATGCTTTTCCACACTGCTTACATACATATGGTTTTTCCCCAGTGTGAATTCTTTCATGTATTTTACAGTTACTCTGTCTGCTGAATGCTTTCCCACATTGCTTACATGCATAGGGTTTCTCCCCAGTGTGAATTCTTTCATGTATTTGGCAGTAGCTGTGTGTGCTGAATGCTTTCCCACATTGCTTACATTGAAATGGTTTCTCTGCAGTGTGATTTCTTTCATGCCGTTGACAGGTCCTGTGTACACTGAATGCTTTTCCACACTGCTTACAAACATAGGGCTTTTCCCCATTGTGACTTCTTTCATGTGTTTTACAGTTACTGCGTCTGCTGAATGCTTTGCCACATTGCTTACAAACATAGGGTTTCTCACCAGTGTGGGTTTGTTTATGTCTATGTCTATGAAATTCAGACTTATCCGCAAATCCTTTCCCACACTGCTTACAAACATGTTTGTTTTCCATGTGAAAATTTTCATGAATTTTACAACTTTCAGTATTGAAGGTTTTCCCATATTGCTTGCATACAAATGGTTTCTTCCCAGTGTGAATTTTTTCGTGAATTTGAACACCATTGCAGGTGCTGGAGGCTTTCACACTTTTCTGACCAACAATGGTCTCTCCAGGGAGAGACTTTTCACTAAGTTCACAGTAGGATTTCCCATACTGCTGATAGTGATGGGGTTTCTCTTCATTTTTTGTCCTTGCATGCTTCTGAAAGGACTGGAGATCACTGCAGTTTTTTCCATGTTCATTACATTTACTCAGCTTGTCATCAAATCCCAAATACTCATGTGGCTTCTCTCCCAAGTAAGGTAACATGGGCATGTTTGGAGATAAATGCACGTTCAGGGGCTCTCTACAAACAAGGCTCCTGGCTGGCTTTAAAGCAGCTTGTTGCATGTCCACATTAGCATCTGGAGTTCGAAGGAAAATATTTCCATGTTGGTTCCAAGATTTATATTGATACCACTTTGCTAGTTCATTTCTATAAAGAAAAAAAGAACAAAACTAGCAATCACAATAAAAAGGCCTCCATACCATAATTTACCACAGGAAGTTCTGGCTTGATGCCTGCTAAGTTATCTTCAAAATGAACTGGCTCAATGCCCTGGAATATGCATCCAAAACACCCATTTCTCCAAAGGATGCTATTCTTTGGGAATTTTAAATAGTACATATTTGCAATATATAATGTCTAGTTTTATTTAGGTCCTTGATACATATGTATGTAATATATTGATCATTTTGGACACATTTTACCCATCTTTCTCTGCTTTTCTCATTATTCTGGTCATCTTTCCATCTCCAATAAATCAAACTTTATGTTCTCTATCACTTTGCTTTAATTTTATTAATTACATTTTGGTATTTTATATAAAAGAAAAAAACATGATAATTCACTTTGTGTGTCAGAGTTTTTAACATTGTAAGATGTAGTACCATCTATTTTTTTTTAGCAAAAATACATTGTGCCTCTTTTTGGTTTTTTTTTTGTCTTTTTCTGAGACAGGGTCTCACTCTGCAGTTCAGGCTGGCCTTGAGCTCACTTTGTAGCCCAGGCTGGTCTTGAACCCACAGTGATCCTCCTGCCTCAGCTTCCCAAATGCTGGAATTACAGACATGGGCCACCATGCCTGGTCCTACATTATGCCTCTTTATGGGTGAATATATAGCACTTTTTTTCAGGGCTGAGAATTAACAAGGTCCTTAGCATTAAATTCTATTTCCAGCATTTTAATTTATTATTTTGAAAGAAATTCTTTTTTGTTGTTGTTTTTCTTTTCTTTTGGCTTTTCTCCGGTACTGGGAATCGAACTCATGACCTCGCACTTGCCAGGCAGGCACTGCACCGCTGAGCTAAATCCCCAGCCCCATTGAAAGAAATTCTTATTGATTATTAATTTGGTCAGAGTGAACTTCACGTTGTCATCCTCCTGGCTCAGCTTACTGGAGTGCTGGGATTAAAACAAGGCACCATTATCATTATGTTCAGGATGTCCCTTCTTCTCTTTATCAATGCATACAATGATGTACATCTAGGCTGTTATAAGAATTTAGGTATTGTGAATTATTTCCAAAACTTAGCTATTGTGAATATCCATACATACTCTCTGTGAGCATGAGTATGCATGTATTGCTGAGATATGATACTTTTAAATCCTTTCAGAATATATATAGGAAATTTTGCCTGGATCAAATGCAAACTTTTGTATTTACTTTTTGAGACAACTGCATATCGATTATAAAATTGGTTCTATTTTATATTCTTACCAATCACATATGAGGGTACCTTCTAAGAATTTTAAAACATGAATGCGTGCAATTCTCTGGAGAATGTTTTCAAGCATGTACTAGTACACTAGCATTCATGTGCATTTTGAATATTGCTTCCAGGTTATCAACTCTTTTAGGTAATTTATCTTATATTCATATATACACATAAACAGATAACGTGAAGATGAGATCCCTGAAATTTCAAAGTTTATTCTTCTCATATGTGCCTATACACAAACCTAAACGTAATTTTATTTATTTTCATGATGATGAGGACGAAATAATTTTTTTATACCAATGTATGAGGAGTGTCTCTTGTGGCATAATATCACTCCTGAATTAGTTTCCTAATATGGAATATTTCTGTATTCAATTGTCAGAGTATACAAAATTAACTTGTATGCATATTTGTAGTTTGTTTGGTTGTAAAATTTCTGCTCACAAACCGACACTTGGGGAATACTCCTTTTTCTTATGAATGCAAATTACCTTAGATTTCTTGAGCAATTTTTGTATTCTTCAATTTGCTGGTGGTCCCAGGTCTTTCCTGAATTGTAGTCAAAAAATACATGAAGTCACTATATCATTATATAAAATTTAGCAGATAGCAGTTAGATTCATGGTATAATGTAAACAGGCCTGATATTGTTCAAAATGTTTTCACATTCTATTTAATGAATATGTACTAATCAGCATGAACCAATGCTCTCTCATTGTACACAGGAGAAAATAGCATCCTTACCTATAGCAGTCATATTCATAAATGTTTCCCACATCACATCTTGGTAGAGCTTCTTCTGGGATGGATTCAGCACAGCCCACTCCTCCATGGTGAAGTTCACAAGGACATCCTCCAAGGTCACTGCTTCCTGAATAATCGCATGTATGTTACCTCAAAGAAGGGTGACACTCACACCCTAAAATATCTGACTGGCTCTTGGAAAAGCTAAATTGAGGTTGATTCCTTCAAATATTAACTCCATGTCTTGGTCAGCAAACCTGTGTATATGCACATATTTTCATAGACATTTGGATGCTAGGTTCCAACTTACTGCTACAGCAACAACGGAATAGTAGCACTGCTTACCCCGCAGGGTCACAGAAATTGTATTTGTGCACTGTTTTTATTTTTTATTTTTTTCCGGTACCGGGAATCAAACTCATGACCTCGTACTAACCAGGCAAGCACTGTGCCGCTGAGCTAAATCCTGGGCCCTGTGCACTGTTTTTAAATCAGAGGTCAGGGCCAGGGATTTAGCTCAGTGGTGCAGGGCCTGCTTGGCAAGCATGGGGTCTTGAGTTTGATTCCCAGTACAAAAACAAACATCAGAGCTCATACAGGGAACTTGCAAATCATCACCCCCTCACCAAAAAAAGGGAAGAGAATATCTAATGAATGTTTCTGATAGCACTTAATTTATAATTCCTTCCAATCTGATTATTCATACAATTAAGTTATTCTTTTTTTGATCATACATACGCAGCATTTTGTAACTTGAATCTGATTTCACAGAAAAACTATTGAACACTAAATAAGGTTTATATATTTTGATCCTTATTTACAATTTTAAATTTTTACACCAACAGAAACTATGAAATATTTACACACTTTTTTATGTGTGTCTTTTTTTTTTTGAGACAGGGTCTCACTATGCAGTTCAGGCTGGCCTTGAACGCACTTATATGGCCCAGGCTGGCCTCGAACTCACAATGATCCTCCTGCCTCAGCCCCCCCAAGTGCTAGGATTACAGGCGTCCACCACCACACCTGGTGATACTTACACACGTTTCCCCAATTTACTATACTTAAGAATATGGTCTCAAGGTCCATCCATTTAGCTAGAAATGTCTCAGGCTTTTCCTTCTTTATTGAAGAGTAATATTCCATTGTATCAGAAAACCACATTTGCTTTACACATTCATTGGCTGATGGGCATTTGGGCTGTTTCCAAGATTTATCAATTACAAACTGTGCCACTATAAATATCAGTGGGCATATGTCACTATGACACGATCATTTTAATTCTTCCAGTAAGATAACAAGAAGGCAAATAGCTGGGTCAAATGGAACCTCTAGTTTTTTTTTTTTTTTTTTTTTGTACTGGGAATCGAGCTCAGGACCTTGCGCTTGCCAGGAAGGCGCTTGTGCCGCTGAGCTATACCCCAGACCTCTAGTTTTCATTTTTGAAGAATCTGAGAAGAAAGAATTCTGATGTGAAGAATGAAGAAGAGATGGAGGCAAGGAAAGAAGGGACAAGAAGAAAAGAATACAAGGAAAAACGGAAAAGCAAAGATTTTGTAAATAAAAATGGGAAAAGGGGTGAAAAAGTGGAGGGGGATGGAAAAAAAGAAGAAGCAAGACATACCTCGTGCAGGTACAAATTTCCTATGATCAATGTTACCATGCATGCTACTAATATGTATATCTAAAATGAACAGGGGCTGGGGATTTAGCTCAGTGGCACAGTGCCTCTCTGGCAAGCGCAAGGTCGTGAGTTCGATTCCTGGTACTGGAAGAAAAACAAAAAACAGCAACAACAAAAATAAAATGAACCAATAAAAAAGGAAAATGAATAAGTGTTATAAATAACAATTAAACTGCCATGGGGTCACAGGTCCACTGCTGTACTTGCAGATTCAAAGACACATAGAGAAAACCAATGAATCCACTGAAGAATCTGGGTACATGGGGCTGGGGATTTAGCTCAGCAGCACAGCACCTGCCTGGCAAGCACAAGGTCATGAGTTCAATTCCAGGTACTGGAAAAAAAAAAACAAAAAAAACAAAACAAAACAAAAAAGAATCTGGGTACAGGTCATGGCAGAACACTGCAGACTGGAAGGAAAGTACTAATGCAGCCAGACTGCAGAAAACTGAATGAGACACTTAGCTTTATGTTACAGATTTTGTCACATTATTTCTCAATCTAATCATTTTCCATAAAGAAAATAAAAGCATATGAATAGGGAATATGATTATTTAATAAATGAACAAATTTTTATACTGTGTTAGCAGTATTAATGTAAAGATAAAATTAACATTTTCAGCTGTCTCAGACAGGCAACTTACTTCATCCAAAATCATGAAGAAGTCCAAAATTCTAACAACTAATCATCGCAGAAGGGCCAAAGTCTAGCTGCAGTGTAGCCACACCCTCAGTCACTTCCCCGTGATGAGACTGGGACAGCTAAAAACTTAACACAATATTTTTTTCCATAATATCCACTTTTCTCCTCACAGTTTGAAAGTTTCTCTCCTTAGGCATACAAATTTCTCCAAAGTAATGTTCTTTGCTTGATCGTTAACTTCCATTGTCGTATTTATTGGTGTGAGAGGTGCCTAGAATACTATAGTAAGCTCATGTCTGTGTGTCAGAGTGAGATTAAAAGGCATGATCTGGGGCTGGGGATTTAGCTCAGCGGCACAGCGCCTGCCTGGCAAGCGCAAAGTCGTGAGTTTGATTCCTGGTACCGGAAAACAAACAAACAAACAAACAAACAAACAAAAGGTATGATCTATGAGATTACATCTGGCGCATGGCTTCTCCCCCTAACCTCCTTCCCTGCTGATGAATCTCCATTGGAAGGATGAAAAATTGATGCTGGAAGCCTGAAGTAAGTGGAGAAAAACATCCAAATGCAATGGCAGACGCCGGAGCTCATTCACAGAAAAATGGAGAGACTGCACGTTCCCTTTCTATTCCATTTGGGGTCCAAGCTTATTGGCTGCTGCAAAGGACATACAGGGTGGGCCGTCCCTCTTGCATTTGTGGCCTACAAGCCAGTCATCCACAGAAAAACACAGCTTCACAAATGGGCTAAGTGGTTCTTACCCATCAAGAGGACACAGCACAATTCATGATCATGCAAAAAAACCCAACTGTTTCTTTTGCTGAAAGTGCCCCTCACAGATATTCTTCATAGACAGTATTTATTTTCTGATTGCATAAAATCTCTGCAGGTGAAAAAGCGCACATTTTCTATTAAGAGCCTTATGGCAATCAGAGTCACATGCACAGAAAGACAAACACACAAAGCGATCAGTATGTGAGACACCTCTTTTCCAACACTCTGCTGCTTGTCATAGGTAAGAGTACTTCATGCTACACATGGATGTAAAGCAACTCAAGATTTTTTGTCATCATAAATCAAAGTTGTCAAAAAGTCATTTTTAAATGACAAAAATCAAATATGAATTCTCCATATGAGAAATGCTAATGAAAACAAAGCTGAGATTCTACTTCACTCCAGAAAGAATTGCTATAATCAAGAAATCAACCAAGAACAAATGCAAGGAAGCCTGCAGATAAAAGGAAATGGTTCATTTTTGGTGGCAATGTAACCTGGTAAACAATGTAAACACACTTTGCAAATTTGAATGGAGGTTTCTCAGAAAAATAAAAATATAACTTTCATTCGATTCAGCTATTCTTCCAGGTATCATCCCGCAAGTGTTAGATATCACCTCATAGGATGTAAGTATACTTATGTGGCTCTAGGGCTCTGTTCAGAAAGCCTTTTCTACAAGTTTCATATTTAAGCAGATTGTGTTTCCATTCAAATATCTAGATATTTGCAAAAAAAAAAAAAAAAAAAAGGAAAAATTAAAAAAGATAATGCCGGGCATGGTGGCACATGCCTGTAATCCTAGCACTCGGGAGGCTGAGGCAGGAGGATCGTTGTGAGTTCAAGGCCAGCCTGAACTTCCCACTGAGTTCGTCTTTTAAAAAAGACAAAAAAAAAAAAAAAACAAACCCCAAATCAAACATTTAGATATTTGATCCACTTATATTTTAGTTTAGTGTGTGGTGAGAAATATGTGTCCCAGTTTAAACTTTGGCATATGCATAACCAATTTTCCCAGCACCATTACTGAAAGAGCTTATCTTTCTTGCAGTGAAAAGATGTAGCCACTTTGTCAAAAAATAAATGTGTGTGGAGAAGATTCTGCTTCTATTCTGTTTCATCAATTCACAAGTAATTTTTTTTTTCAGTAACATGCAGTATTTACCACACACCTTTATACTGTAACTCCAATACAAGCTTTGGATTTACCATGCCTTCCCCTTCTTTTATTTTTCAGGCTTTCCATTTTCACTACAATTGATTTTGCTATTCTAGGTATCTTCTAGTTCCATATTAGTTTTAGGTCTTGTTTTGCCTAGTTATGTGAAACTTGCTATTGGCATTGTAGTTGGGATCTACATTAAATCTGAGTAACAGTTTGGAAATATGGGCATTTTTACTATCCTATCCAGCAACAGGGTACAACTTTTCATTTTCTGATATCCTGTTCAGTTGCTTTTCTCAGGGTATTACAGTTTTATTTTATTTTATTTTTGGTTTTTTTCTCCGGTACCGGGAACCGAACTCACGACCTTGCGCTTGCCAGGCAGGTACTTTTGCCGCTGAGCTAAATCCCCAGCCCCTGGTATTACAGTTTTAATTCTAGAGATCTTTCACTTTCTTGCTTTGATTAATTTCTTTTTGTGGGGGGTGGTGGCGGTTTCCGGTATCAGGAATTGAACTCATGACCTCATGCTTGCCAGGCAGGCGCTGTGCTGCTGAGCTAAATCCCTAGCCCCGCTTAGATTAATTTCCATATAATTCAATTTATTGGTGCTATTTTAAAAGTTATAGTTTCCCTAATTTACCTCTTGGTAAGTTTGGCATTGGTGCATGGGATACTACTGATTTTGAGTGTCAACATTATTTTATGCTGTGCTACTACTGAATTTGGTTATTAATACTAGGAGTATTTTAATGGAGTTTTGAATTCACCTCTATAGTACACCAGGAAAACTGCAAATAATACTTTACCTTTTTTGATTCCTATCTATATCCTTTTCATTTCTTTTTCTTATTTAAC